ACTGGGCTCAATTGCCTTGACTCGCAGCTCCCTCAACAGCAGCATGGCCTCGCACAGCAATCAAGCGGAGTGTCGGGGGAGTATTCTTGTCCTGACTCTGACCTTGTTGCAGAATCCAAGAGGGTTTTCCACTACGGACTCTGACCCCTAACAGGTGGCACTGAGGACCTATTTGCAAGGCGTCCCCCGCACATCAGAACCTCCTCCCAGCGCTCGCACTTCTCGCAAGCACTGATGGCAGCATTGAAAGAAATCCTCAGCGGTCATAAATCAGGCCCTAAACACATTTCTGACCTGTACTTGCAGAATTTTTTGGGCATCCTTGAGGCAAGGGACACATCAGCCTGGAGCCCCGGAGAGGCCTCCAAGTCTCTGAGGAGGCCCAAAGCTTCCTCCCACTTCGCTGCCTTCTCACAGGAGCTGATGGACGCGTTGTAGGCGATCACATCCACCTTTCAGCGTGCGAGCGTTGCTCATCTTGTGCTCGTGACGGAACACAGCTTGCGCCTGGAGATCTTCATCCTGAATTCCAGATAACAGCGCGAGCGCTCGGCTCCATTCGCCACCCTTCTCACACGCACTGATCAGTGAGTTGCAGGTGACGACATTCCAGCGCAAGCCGTCGTGTTTCAGCATCGCGAACAGCTGCAACGCCCACTGCCAATTCCCGGATTTGGCACAGGCTCCGATCCTGAGACTGCACAATTGCACAGTAAAAATGGGGGGTGCTGGGGTGGGAGCTGCACAGAACGAAGCGTCCGGGAAGACTGCAGTGACTGCAGGCTGAGAGTCGCTGTGCTGTACGTGACGATGTCTGCTTGGAAGCCCTCTGCCCAGAGCTCAGCCTGGCAAACTCAGCTCCTCCCGTGTTCGGCGGGTGTTATGCAGCCCACTGCCCCTTTGCAACTTTGCAAGCAGGAGTGGCCATATATTGGAGAGCATACTCCCACAACCCCTGACTTTCGCATGCACTGATTGCTGCATTGTATGCGAGAACCTCGGCTGCTCGCTGTCGTCATCAAGAACCCCTATGGCCCAATTGCTTCTGCGGCTTTCAGAATCGAAATTCGTCTCCGAGCCGCGCTGCAAGGGACCGTGCTTTGTCTCATGTCGCGGAAAAGAGTCAGCGAGCTTTCCCATTGAGAGCTGCGGGCGCCTCGGGGAAGGCAGAAAAAATGCGAGAAAACAGCGGATGCGTCGTACAGTCGGATTCAGTGTATGGCTCATCTAAGCTTACAACTGGCGGATGTCTTCAGTTCCACACTAAGCCTGTAGCCTGTAGGTTCAAATTGGTCCAACCTGAGTGGCCACTGAATTTACAACATCGCATAGCCCCTGTCTGCCGGCGGATCCACCTTGGGGGCCCCTTGTGAAGATCCTCTCCAAATCTCACTGCCTCTTCTGGATGTGAGTGCCACAATTTGGCGGATCTATGTGGTAGCAGCTATTGCTTGCTCATTGAGGTGCACCTTTTCCAACACGGGGAAAGGCACGATTGGACGAACTCTGGTGTCCTGAAATCTTTATAGTTGCGCTGTCAGTACCATGCACTGAATTCGAAACTGGGGTCCTCCGTTTAGGCAAACAAAACGCACACTGAAGCTCTCGACAAGCGCTTGACAAACGGGCCGTCAATATTAGCAAGTGGCTGCCGCTGACGGCCGATGTCAAGGTGATCATGTTTGGCAGGAGCTTTCGGTTCTTCATTTCCGACAGCAAGCTCAGTGCTTGTTGCCACTCTTCCCCAGTCCTTGCATCAAAAATTGTGACACATGGCACATGTTAGCTGTTAGCTGGTGACAGCTAGTGAATCTTCACGATCACTGCTCACTGGCATACGAAAGACATGTAAGGCTGCGAAACCATTCCATGCGGGTCTCGCGCATGTTTTCAAAAGCGAGTTGAAGGTCACGATGGTAGGTTGCAAAGAGAACTCCGCCATTTCACTGAACAGCAGCACAGCCTCTTGCCATAAGCAACCGAACTCAAGCGCCGAGATGAGAGAGTTGTGCGTGATGGTGTCGGGCTCGAGGCTTCTCGTGTTGAGGCTGGCAGCCAAGGCTACTGCAAGCTCCCAACGGCTTCCTCTGGCACATGCACCTTAAAGCGGTCTGAATGTTTTGAGGGCTTTCTCACCGGAGAAAAAACTGCTTGATTGCCTGGCCGCTGGTGGCTGCATTGTAAGGGATGATGGAGGCCTCCAGGCTCTCCAGCTCTAGCTCGTGCAGCAGTGACAAAGCTACTTCCCATACCTCACCTTAGATGCTCTCTGGACATGAAGAGAGTCGGAAAAATTTAAACTGCAGCTGGCGGTCAAACCGGACTGCGACAGGTCGACGATTCATTCGAGTCGCCTTTGGCACAGGCACTGATGGCCGCATTGTAGGTGATGGAGTTCCGGACAACTTCCGCATCGGACATCGACAGCAACAAAGTAATAGCCTCGGCCCACAGGCTAGCCACCTCCAAAGAGCTTAGCGTCGTTGAGAATGTGATCACATCCGCAAGACGCCCATGCTGTAGTTGATGCAGGAGCGACAATGCCAATTCCCACTGTGCACCGCGGACGCAAGCACTTGCTGCCGTGTTGTAGGTCACTAATGAAGCTTGAAGTCCGTACTCTTCGAGCTCGGGCAGTAAAGCCAATGCTCGTTGCCACTGCGACTGCTTCACGCAAGTGTTGATAGCTTTGTTGTACTCCAACAGGCTGCCGCAACGATCCGCAATCAGAGATGCAGGGCTCTTCGCGACCTCCGGGGGGACGTTGCTTGCCATCTGGCCTCATCCGAGCCTCGTTCCAGTTGTCAGGACCCCTGGAGTGCAAAAACACAGGCGTCATCTGGGCTTCACCGTCGTGCGCGTCAATCGTGGCAGTAGGCTTTGGCTTGGGCCGCACATGCAGCGACGGAAAAGCGATGAAAAGCGGTCTGCATGGCGCATGGAAACTCTGCTCAGCGCTGCATCGAAAAATTAGCAGCCCTCTTGTGGCAAAGTGGATGGTGACTGCAAGCAGAAGCATGAAGCATCTCAGGCGTCTTTTACATTCGCATGCCATGCTGAAGGAATTTTGAAGGTCTTGAGGCAATGGAGAGTGGATCTCGTGGAACTTTCCCGCTCGGTCTCGAAATACTAACAGATGTCTGTGCAGCCAGTTTCTGTCACAGAGTGCTGCATCCTGCTGGAAAGTAACGTTGCTCGTGTAAAGACCATCTCGGACAGTTGGGTGCCCAACGTATGCCATGTGACTCCGAATTTGGTGCTTTCGCCCCGTGACCTCGGCTCTCGAGCATGCGAACCGCGAGCCATCGTGCTTCTTCCTGATCTATCCATACTTGAACGAGCAATGTTCAGGCGCGGAAACATCAAGACCGAGCTACTGCAGAGTCACTCACACTACAGCACAGCAGGCTCATTGAGCAGTGCAGTCACCCTGCGCCATCAGTCGCGGCTCATATCCACAGTTGCAGCCAAGAACCACAAGGTACCGCAAGTCTTCGACGAATAAACCAGAAGGTCAAGATGACAACCAAAACGACAACCAAATGTTTACTACAACAACAGTAGCTGTAGCTCTGCAGTGGCTGAGCAGCAATCTGCAGAAGAAGGCGAGTTAGTGATCCAACAGGATGCCACAAGAAGCCTGGGCAATTAAGAGATGTCGCTCAGGGACATATGATGTACGCTGTTTAATGTACTAGCTGTCAAAGAAATAGTCATTGGATTTGCATTCCGACATCATGCCTGCCATGTGACCCATGCACCGAAGCCGAGTTCGGCTCCACTTTCCGCGACCGCCCGAAGTTGTTGGACCTTTTGTGCCGGATTGCACCTGTGTCGGTATGTGCTGGGCAAACTCGAAGACTGCACTATTTTTCGTGCGTTTGCTTCTACTAGCTGGAAAATGTGAGTGTGAGTAAAAGTATCTACAACCATGGATGGATTCCAACTGGTAGAATGCTGCCAGCGCGATGTGTTTGAAACTCGGCTAGGGAGAAAGGGAGAGACGACCGACGTCATCATAGCCGATGCTATCTGAAGTGCTAACAGCCTTCAAGTCATGCTGCTGACATAGTGCAGTGTCTTCGTTTACTCTTTACTTCTATGTGGGGTAACTGGGCGACGGCAAAGTGAAGGCTCATGAACTGGCCAGACTCGAACTGACCTAAAACTGGTCCTCCTGCGATACCATCCAGGTGTGAAGCTCGCAAGACAAGACCTGGCCTTTGCCGTGACGGTGGTGAGCGATGGTGCTAACCAGCCGTGCACGAGAGAGGTGTACTCGCGGCCAAATGTCCCAAGATGAAGCTGAAGCTGTAAGTCATAGAAAGCGGCATAGGACTTTGCAATCATGATCAAGCCTGCGATGCGCCATGAAAGCAAGTCATCTAATCAGCGTCTACATTGTGCTGCCGGCAGCAACCTTTCACCGACGAAATGGACGAGCCACGCGCCAAACAACCCCATATTGGCCCATATGTGTGTCTGCATGTGCAGCGTGCCATGCCAAAAGGATAGGTGAATTTACGAGCAGTGGTAGTAGCAGTAGTAGTAGTAGTAGTAGTAGCAGTAGTAGTAAGAAAAGGAGTAGTAGGAGTACCAGCAGCAGGAGTAGCAGTGTTAGGAGTAGGAGTTGGAGCAATAGTAGTACTACTGGTTGTATGGAGTAGGAGCAGTAGTAGTAGTAGTAGTAGTAGTAGTAGTAGTAGTAGTAGTAGTAGTTGTAGTAGTAGTAGTAGTAGTAGGAGTAGTAGGAGTAGGAGTAGGAGTAGGAGTAGGAGTACTAGTAGTACTAGTAGTAGTATTAGTAGTAGTAGTAGTAGTAGTAGTAGTAGTAGTAGTAGTAGCCGTAGTAGTAGTAGTAGTCGTCGTGGTGGTGGTGGTGGTAGTAGTACACGAGCATCTAACCAGCATACGTGTGTTTCTATATGCACTATAGAACTAGTTTTTTCTGATATGTATGCACATGCATATTACATAACATATATATATATGTATACACATATGCTTATATTCATCTATCTATTTATACGCATGTGTAAAAATACAAAAACGCGCGCACACACGTGCACACGGACGGTCGTGTGTGTATCGCCTCCGGTCCGTATTTTGCGGTCTGTTAGCAGCGACATAGTACGACGTGTTTTGTAGGAGAAGCCGCATAAATTGCATAAACAACATAGCAACATAACCAGTCAGACTGGCCAGTGCAACCATAAGATGCACTGCTAGTAGGCTCATTGCTATGCTGAGTGCACAACTACCACTAAGAACGGAATGAGTGTAACACCTTTAATAACAGCATGCCAATTGCCATGTTCACAATGATAACCATTGTCACAGCCACGATAATGAATGTTGTTTTCGTACTAACACTCGGCCCTAGGTTATCACAGTGAAAGGCACACAGCTATTGATATCAGCATGACAATGGTGTCGCGACAAATCGTTGTCATGAGCATATTGAAAATGATGTTTTATTGGGAACTCAGCACTGGCAAGAAGACTGTATACTTCTAACGTTGCGATGAATACTGCTCTTGGCTCTTATTGCTAGGCTCTCCGGCCTGAGCTCGGCACATCCAGGCGATGGAGGAAGCCAGCATTATGACCTAAATGAAAATGGCTCCAACACTGTCGGGCTAGCGTCTAGAATGAAGGAAACTATGACAGGGTGAGGCCAACAGCAATAGGCCTGAAATTTCCAGCACTGTACACGAGCCAGGGCCGCTGCTTTATGCTGCTTTGTAGGAAGCTCTGATTACAAGCGAGAGGGCTGGTCGGCATCTTCTCTTTTACGAAGACCCCTCGAAGAAATCGCCATCTGTGAGGAAGGCGGGTTTCACAAACATGGCGTTGCAGCTGTCCGGCTCCGGTCAGGACACGGGAGTCGTTGTTCCGAAATTAAAGCTGTTAGTTCAATGTTCAGTTCTTCAAGCAGGCACCAAAGTAAATCAGTCCAGTGGCTGTCATCGTCCAGGATTCGGAGACGGCCTTGTGCAACAAGGCTTTGGAAGGGGAATTTGAGGCACATCCTAGACCAAGGAAGTAGCTAGCAGGAAAACGGGCACTTCAATCAACAACATGAGCATCCAAATCCGCTTGAACGAACCCCTAATATCACAATCGTGCATGCATCATGGCCACCCAAAGCCAATGCGCTCTTGACAATCTGCCAACCGAGTTGCCAAAGTGGAGAGCTGCGAAGGATGACAGCTGCAAGGCTGTGTGGGCGCCATAGACTTCCCACCCGGCTGGCTTGAAGAGAACAGCGCGGTCAGCCTCGTTCCACACCACGGAGGCGGCTGGAAGCGGAAGCGGAAGCTCCTCAAACGAAGTAAAGAGTAAAGAGCGAACAGAGCGAGCGGACACGTTTTCAACTCCTGCCAATCTCTCCTGCGACAAAGCTGGAGTCGGCAATGCGTAGGTCTTCCGGGTGCTTCGGTCTAAGTCGCGGCCGACTTCCAATAGCGCATCGCGCACGGCGGTTTGCAAGTTCTGTCGCAAATGCCCTGCAGTCGCCAAGGATCCCATTATGCCTCAATTGAGGAAGTCAGGCGATGCGATATTGAAGGTCCCTGCAGTGAGTGCAGCCAAGATGCCCATAGCTGAGATGCCCAGGCGATTGAAAGCCAGCCGACTCGGCGCGATCTGCCTGCGCAGGAGTTTCGGATGTTCGCTACTGACGAGGCTATCACGGCTCTGGAAGGCAACGGATCAACAACTCCCTCTGAAAAGCTAAATGCCAATCAGCAAAAACAGTGCTTATGCTAACCAGTGGGGGCTCCCAGAACCTTCCTCTCCCCTTTCCCTAGACACTTGAGCCAAAGAAACCCGCTGATCCCAATTGGACGAGCTGAGGGTCCCGTTTTGGCATCCTTCTTAGTCTCAGTCGCTAGCTCGGGGCAAATTCAAAGGCAAGCCTCCCATTCACTTCAGCGGAGCCTCAGCCTCCTGAGTTCGTCTGCCACGTGTCGCTGGATCAGGTCAGCAGCAAAAGGCTCCGAGCTCAGGGAGATGAGGCTCGACACCTCGAGATTTGGGGCTTGGATACGCATTAAACATAACTCGGACTCAACAAGACGACTGCAGGAAACAAGGCGAGGTGTCTGCATCCCCGGCCTTTGTGCGGCTTGGATCTTGAAACTAAACCAAACTTCTCACAAGGCACCACCATTGCAAGCTCATCGAGGCCAACGTTGGGGAGTTGTTGCAGAAATCTCCGAATAGTCGACCTGTGCCGGAGGGCCCAAAAGGACTTCAAGGAGGCTTGGAGGTAGAGCAGGGTACTCAATAAGGTAACCTGTGTTCGCTGCCCGTGCCACGTTGTCGAGTGCATCATTGCATCACACAAATATCAATTCAACGGCCAAAGCGTGGCACGGCGACTGAAGATAGCAAGTATCCTTGTGGAATCCTTTAGG